CTTCCCAGCACCGGCTAACGCCCCATCCTCACCCCCACAGTGGGAGCTCCCAATCTTTTCACCTTCCTCTAGCTCCTAAACGCCCCCCCCCCCAACAGAAATGAAAGAACAAGAGGTTTTAAAACAAAAACAACTTGACTTCTTCGTAGAGGGTGAATGGAGGTAGTGACTTAGTCTTAAAATTTTTGCTTATCTAATTTTCACCAGCTACTTTAAAACTCATTCTGCTCTTTAGACAGAATGGTATGACTTACAGAGATACTGTTTTTAAGTTTCTTAATAAGATAAGGACCTTTTCCTTGGGCTAATATTTCTTTACTGAAATAATTTGGAAAATAGGGAGAAAGTTACTTAACATCTAACCCAGACAAATTCTTTATACTGACTGTTCATGTAAAGAACTGAAAAGACCTTCTGTGACACGTTTCAGTAGATTTCCTGGTAATGTAATAGCAAGAGAATAATGCAATTTGCATCTTAGATATATAATTAGATTTCCTTGTTATGTATGGACTGACCCAGTTCAAATGCGTAGTCTTCTCTCTCCTCTGTCTTCCCTTAGGACTGGCTCAGGGCCTATCCCAGAGACCTTACAGTGTTCGACCTCACAGCATAACTGTTTGATACACAGAATCCTGTCATGAGCTCGTGTTAGGGGCTGGGACTAATGCATGGTAGTTGGGAAACCTTGGGACATGGGGCTCAGGCAAACCAATATTCAAGTCCTTCTTTAACATTTCTGTGGGAAAGTTATGTAGCCTCTCCAAGTTTCTTGTGTAATAACATAAAGTGTCTAGCAGGTTGCCTGTGCTCCTCTTGGTTGTGTGCGCCTAGTCCTTGCCCTGGACTTTGCATGTCACAGGGGAGCAGTGAACAGTACAGCCATGCTGTACAGGCCAAGGTGGAAATCCTTTTATTTCCTTAAATGCAAAATCAACAGTGGCTGGCCCAGTGGTGTAGTGGTTAAGTTTGTGCACTCTGCTTTGTCGGCCTGGGTTTCACGGTTTCAGATCCTGGGCATGGACCTACACACCACTCACCAAGCCATGCTGTGACAGCATCCCACATAGAAAATAAAGGAAGATTGGTGCAGATGTTAGCTCAGGGCCAATGTTCCTCACCAAAGAAAACCACAGAAAAATAATATCAACATATGCTTTGAATCAGTGGATTAGCAGAATGTTTGCAAAGATTAGTCTGTAAGTTAATAATATAAAAATCTTTTTAAAGAAACAGATGTGTTATGCAGCAAACCATATAGTGAAATCAATAACAATGGGGCTGATAGTCTTAGTCACTTTTTAAAATTTTGAGTTTTATATTTTTAACATAATTTTTCCAGTTTTCAACTTACCACCGTTTTTGTACTCATTTTTTAAAGCACTTCGTTAATAATACATTTTGTACTTCCCCTTGGACTTTTATTGGACTACAGATATTTTAAGAGGGGGAAGATAAGAGAGAATTGTCTAGTCTCACTTTTTAATAGACATGTAAAATATGATCTTTTTAGACAGCTATACTTGTTTCTTTAAATGTTTCCCTGATTCATCCTTACCAATGTCATTTTTTATCATCTTGACTGTTTTTCCCTCGAGTCCTCAATCTTTCTCAAGGCAGCCTATCTTTCACCGGCTCTGGCCCTGGCTTCTGAACTTTCTGAAAGCTCCTTTCTTAAAATCTGGGATAGATATTCATCCAAGCTCAGCACTCCCTTCTTCTGCTCTTGCATGCTTGTCTGACCTGAAGGTTCTTACTTGTGAGTTGGAATGAAGCCCAGGCAAGCAGATCCTGTCATTGCCTCATTACCTAGTAAGGTAATCAGCTAGTAAGGTGATCAAACGTTCAGCAAGGCAGGAGAAACAGTCTGCCTCTAGTGGAGTGAGGCTTCCAAGCTGACGCCTGGGTGGTGAAAAATCCCCCCAGCAGTGTTGTGTCAGTTTTTAAATTTGTAATAAAAAAAGCATCATGAATAGCCTGCGTCTGCTCAAGCAGTTGGAGTGTGTGGTCCCACGTTAATATTGCTTCCATTTCCCTTCCCAATTTCTTTTCCTATGCACCTGGAAGACCATATCGTTGTATACCTTCTTGTTGACAGAGAGCTGCTCCCCTACCACTTCTCTTGTGTCTCTTTTCTTTCCCATTTTCCAGTCATGAATTCCATCTCCCAAGCCTTGGTGATACTTCTAAGACTATAGCACCTCCTGACTGCCAGAGGTATAAACAGTCTGAGTGTTAATGATTCATGTCCTGAAATCAGATCTTGTTGAAGTCCAGTATTAAATCCTAACAGAAAGGGCAGCACATCAGGGTCTTACCACTGGGGCCTCACTGGGCCATCTTCTAGGAAGTGGGTCTGAGTAATCGCGTCACGCTGCAGAGTTTCCCAGATATGAGCAGGGGCACTGTGTGTGTGGGTGGGTGTGGGTGTGGGTGTGGGTGTGGTTTAATGCTCTAGCACATTCAGTGAAAGTCAGAACTAGAAACAGGGGATGCAGCTCACTGTTAGAGGCAGGTCACCAGCACTGGAGGGGAGGGGTTCGTTAATCAAGTTGAGATGTTCTAGGTACCATCACTGGCAAAAGAGAGGTTGGAGAAAAGTAGAGTGGTCGGTGTAGTAGTTTCCTAGACAATGTAATGAATTTTACTAATTACTGTTCTTCCTTGAAACCAGTGAGGTTCTTAAGCCTTATTAGTGTGACAGGAATTAGGACCATAGTTCTATTCAGTGAGGAAAAAAATACAGAGAAAAGAAAAAAGACTAAGTTGGCAGCTTGCTATATTTATCATATGTGTGTCAGCTTTTGCTTACTGTTTAAAGACACGATGGAATGAAGTTGCTGTCAATCACTGTGTAAAGAGTTGCTTTGAAATGGTGTTGCACAGAAGTGGAGTTGGAAACTGGAATGCCCAACTGAACAGTAGAAGTGTACAGAAGAACACAAGAAATGTCTTGTAAAAGTTACAACTGTTCCACCTTCTTTGTAATAGCAAAAGATTTGAAACAACCCGATGTCCCTCAGCTGGGGACGGTTAAATGAACGCTGGTTCATCCACACAGTGGAGTCTGTGTGGCTGTCAAAAAAAGAGTCAGGAAGAGCTCTACACACTGACGTGGAGTGATGTTGTAGTTACAAGAGGAAAAAAATAAAAACCAAGGTACAAAACAGTGTCCACAGTGTGCTACTTTTTGTGCGAGGAGAGGAGGATTCTGGATGTGTGTATACATTTGCTTATATTTTCAAGGGGAAACAATACAATGGAAAGAAAGAAGGGGCCAGCCTGGTGGTGCAGCAGTTAAGTTCACATGTTCTGCTTCGGCGGCCCAGGGTTCCCCGGCCTGGATCCCAGGTGGGGACCTACACACTGCTTGTGAAGGCATGCTGTGGCAGACCTCCCACATATAAAGTAAAGGAAGATGGGCATGGGTGTTAGCTAAGGGCCAGTCTTCCTCAGCAAAAAGAGGAGGATTGGCAGCAGATGTTAGCTCAGGGCTAGTCTTCCTCAATAAAAAAGAAAGAAAAAGATAAATTAAAAACTGATAAAAATCTGTAGGGGGAGGGAGGGATCAGGGTAGAGGAAGGAAGCAAGACTTACCTGACTGCACCTTGAGATGTGGTTTGACTTGGGAATCATGTAAAGTTTTGTCATAATCATAAAACAAATTACATCCAGAAGTCACTCCCCTCACCCCACACACCGCATGAAAAATTGAAAGAAGCAAATGAACCTGATTGTACTTTGTTAGTGACATAACCAAGCAGAGAAAAGAGTTCTTCTCACTGACCTTAGAACACAGTATTTTTACTGTATATTCTCAATGAGATATACTCTAAGGCCAAAAAAAAAATGCAAAGAGTTTAAGTTGGATTCAGCAGTCTTACTATTGATAGTGATGTTGATATGGTTAGGAATTAAGATTTTCTACCTAAGAGATAAGAAATAAGCATAAAATTTTTTCGAATTATGTAAAAACCCTGTACACTTAAATTTGAATTAGAAGTATTAACAAGATCTTATTCTTCCCTTTTTAAAAAAAATACATGTGTCCGAGGTCTGTCCAGTGAAAACTCAGTAATAGTGAGCACTCCTAGCACCCGGATATTGGCCTTTAAACGTCGTTCCCACTCACAGAATCCAGAGGTCCTTGGAGAAATGCCTGGTTCCATGTCTGGGATGGGAAACGTACTTGGTGAGTCTAGAGGATCTCGTGCCGGAAAGCCAGGGACATATCAAAGGCTATCTGGTCATTTCAAAAGGACGTAGGAACCTGGCTTAAGGGTTCCCGTTGGCCAGAGACGAGATAATTGACTACAATGAATATGCAAGAAATCCATGAGTTATAATGATATTAAACCAGTAAAAGGGCCATCATCTCACTCCTGCTTTGTTGCTGTGTTGCTGCCAGAGGAACGTATTAAAGACTATTTTGAATCACAGTAGAGAATATTCATTTGATTATGTAAATTATAGCAAAGAGTCAGGATACAAATGCCATTTAGAGTTCATGGTCTTTCTCCCCATCCTCTCGCCTTTACAATGGCCTGGAGTCTGACCTCAGATTGACTCTTACTGTGACACGAAATGCATTCTTTTCATCCCTATTTACCAGCATCATGTCCTCAGCAGAGCTGAAATCTGCCTGCTGGGAGTCCAAAGACCCGGGTTCTAGTCTGAGCTCTTCCTCCTGCTCTCTCCACAGCCTTCAGTCTCTGTTGCTCTCTGTGCCTCATATTCCTCAGCTCTCAAACGAGGAGAACGATCCCTGTTCGCCCTTCAAAACCATGACGAACCATCGCTGGCCTCTGAGATGACTTCTGCCTGTTGAGACAGTGGATTTTCAGTGTTTCCCCCATTAATACATTCTTAAATAGGCATGTTTACAAAATTCCATTGGAGATTGGAATCGTTTTAGCTATACCTAGAAAAATAAATATTGCCAGTTCATTACCACAGATTGGATGGGGAAGTAAAAGGCTTTGTCTTTCTGTTTCTTTCAGCCATGGAATTCCATGAACACTTGCACAGCATAGGCACCAAAGAAGGTCTGAAGGAGCGGAAGCTACAGAAAGCAGTGGAGAGCTTTACCTGGAATATCACCATCCTAAAGGTATCCTGCCGAACTGCTTCCCGTGCTAGCGATTTTGCCGTCTTTTTCAGCCTGTTTCTTCCTGTCGGGATAACATATCCTGCAGTGTACATCATCAGCTCTTGAGGTTAGAGAGTGGTCACAGAAATCTGTGAGAACTCTGCCCTCCAGAGTCTGCAGGCACAATAGCTGGGTGGGGGGATAACTGGGTGGCAGGGGGTGGGGATAGCTGGGTGGGGGGCTTGGAGGGAGAACAGGGGACTCTGATGGTTGGCACATGGTAGATTCTGGTGGGATGGGAAACGACCTTGCATTCCCTCCTTGAAGCATTGTAGAGTTCATAAATGCCGGCTGCTATAAGTGAAATAGAAAATATTGATTACAGGGGAATGATTGGGAATTTAAAGATTCTAGTTACTCAGATTTCATTTAACACTTTAAAGTAGAATGATTAATAGGATCCCAGGATAAAATAGGAAAGAATTGTGTGGGACATAATCAAAAGAAATAGGTAAAGGAATTCCCATTTGAAAGAAATTTTCCTTCAAGGGAAAAGTCATCTGTACCTATCTGTTTCTTTGTTTCTCTGTTGCTCTCGCGCTTGCTTGTGCGCGCTCTCTCTCTCTCCCACTACCGCCCCGCCGCCTCCCTCCTTCCCGTCTTCTCTCCTTTCTTTCCATCTATCTATCTATCTCAGCATGACCACTTAAAAAAATTAACTTTTATTATAAAAGTAATATTTTCCTTGTGGAAAATGTCAAAATAGCATAACTAAAGGTAACCCTAGTCCCACCCTCCAGAGACAACCACTGTTGACCTTTTGCTGTGCTTTCTCCCTGTCTTCTTCTCTATGCTGGGTTTTGGTTTTTTTTATTTTATTTTTTTCTCTTTAAAGATTGCCACCTAGGCTAACAACTGTTGCCAATCTTTGTTTTTTTTTTTTTTCCTGCTTTATCTCCCCAAACCCCCACCCCGTACATAGTTGTATATCTTAGTTGCAGGTCCTTCTAGTGTGGGATGTGGGACGCCACCTCAACGTGGCCTGACGAGCAGTGCCATGTCCGCACCCAGGATCCGAACCCTGGGCCGCCGCAGCGGAGCGCGCGAACTTAACCACTTGGCCACAGAGCCGGCCCCTATGCTGGGTTTTAAAATAGTGCTACATATGTACTTTGAAACTGTCTTGAGTTGCGTCTCAATGATCCTTACTTTTCTTCATCTCGGTGTTTGGGAAGTTGAATAATAATAACAGAGAAACATTATTTCACTCCGGATCTTGGACAGCAAAATGTAAAATTGCTCTCTCGTATTCACCCTCCAGACTTTCTCCTCGGGTGAGTTCAAAACTGTGAAGACAAAATCACAGCTGCCTCTTTTAATTTCTCTGTTCCCCTTCAAGTTCAGAGTCCCATCCCCACAGCTGACAACAGTTTTCTGATTCGATTTAATAAAAGTCACCCTTCCAAAGCTAGCCAGCTTGTGTTTTCTCATGTTAAACCCCTACTCATTTTTAGAATTAAAATCATTTTCTTAACTTCTTCAAACACTTCCCTTCCTACACATGTACTTTTTGTAATCTCTAGATCTCCTGCTTGGTATTTAGCTCAGATTGTTTGCAGTTCACTAAACAGCAGATATAAGAATTTACAATGAAAGAAGAATTTGGCTTTACAACTTGCTGACTCCCTCCCGACCAGAGGTGGAAGGGACGCTACAAATTTCCTGCAAACCTCAGGAAAGAATAGTGCTATAGTTTTTGTCCCTGTGATAGGAACAAATGTTCGTTTGGCTTTTATTTTATTATAGACAAAAATGGACTTAGGGACCAAACTTTGATCTGTCAGCTCTCCTTGCTACTCATTGTGGTCTGGGAACCAGCAGCCTGGACATCACCTGGAAGCTTGTTTGAAATGCAGACTCCCAGGCCCCACCCCAGACCTGCTGAATCAGAACCTGCATTTTTTACAAGATCCCAGGGGATTCTTATGCACATGGAAGTTTGAGAAGCACTGGGCCAAAAGCCATGAAAATGGGAGCCTGGCGCACGTATTGATGAAAACCAGCTGACATAAAGTGATGGACCAGATTTTAGAAATAAGTAATTGAACCAAATAGCTACACTTAGGAGACCTATTTTCTTTTGAATTACGTCCAGGAGAGAGAATTAACACCTCAGACTTATGTCCATATGGAAACAAATGTATAGGACAGGATAATCGATCTTTTTAAAATTTCCAGGGTAACATTTGCCTCAGATGGTGTTTGAGTATGGTAGAACCTGAGCGAGGAACAGGGAAGAGTTGGAGAGATGTGTGTGCCACTTCTGTATACAAGAAGGGCTTTTTTCACTACTGTGTATTTCACAGGTTTAAACTTCCTTTAGAAGAATCAGTGCCCCCCGAGTCTTGGACGTGAGCGTGGGTCTGAGTCGAGCCCCCAGCCTTTTCCTGACGGCATGGGATCCTTGAGTCTTCTCACCACTGCTTCTTTGTGGAGCTTGGAGCGGGGCAAGGCTGTGTGTGGTGTGGGGCAGGCAGCAGGTGCCCTGCTAGTGGGCACAGAGGCTTGGGGAGGTTTCAGACGACGCTTGGTATGGAGAGAGGAGGCAGAGGACAGGAATGCGTGCCGAGGGAGCCCTGGAGCTGAGCTTCTGGAGCACCCCAGGTGCTTAAAATACAGTCTCCTGAGCCCCACCCCAGACCTCCTGCTCCAGGGGTGGAACACGAGAATCTGCTTAACTCGTTCCTCAGGGGATTCTGAGGCACCCTAAAAAATCGAGTACCACCGCTCTGGAATCAAATCAAAGATATCATTCCTTATGTATCACCCCACTCATGTGAACGAGAAAGGAGGCAGGGTGACCAGTCACCCCAGGACGTGGGGCTTTCAGTGTGAGAACTGGGACAGTCCCAAGCAAACCAGGGATGACTGGCCATCCCCAGAGGAGGGACCCTGCCATAAACTCCTTTAATCTAAGGATGTGCATCCAGTTTTTCTGAGTCTTTTCTTGCTTTGTTTGGTTTTTCAATTTTTAAGACTTGCTGTAAAATGCAGAACTGAACAAAGAAGAAATGTCATCCGTGATCACCACACCCAGAATGATTCACTGCTAACATCTTGGCATATTTGCTTCCAGTCTTTTTTTTTCTGTGAATAAAAACCATTCATTTGTTTTTGTAAATGCATCTTCATTATAAAGAACTTTTTTAATGTAGAAAAGATAAAAGTTTGTAAATGACCTTGGATCCTCCCTCTGAGAAATTACTGTTAATAAATGTAGGTGACCTTATTCCAGAAACCTTCTATATGCATATGGATGGATGGATGGATGGATGGATGGATGGATGGATGGAGGTACATTTTATTGATTCTGAGTCATTCCGTTTTTTCGTATTTTTGAAATTGGTATCTATCTTATAATTAATGGCATCTTTGCATAGTATCCTGGTTAAATTGGCAGTGATTTTTCTCTCTTAGTTGTATATAAAATAGTGGTACATCTCACAAGCTTTAGTGTCTCAGATATGAAATAACGTATGTCAATAGATAGAATCCTACTATAATTGTTCTTTTTAATTTTTTAAAAAGTACTCAATTTCACTTTACTTAACAGAAGAAAAGTAAACCATAAAGAAGCTATTTAGCAATTCATTTAAATTGCTGAACAATTTTTACTGTAAGCAGTATTTCCTATAAAATCTCTCTGAGGTTAAGAAAAGAGATTATGGAAAATGTTAGTAGGAGTCATTTTGTTGGGTTTTGTTTTTAAAGCTACACATTTCAATTAGAAGCTTTGTTGGTTGCCCTTATGCTATGAAAGTTGAGAATGTTAGCACTCTCTAATATTGCTGGATGGGGAGTTAGGCATATTGTTATTTTTTCCATTGTCTTAAATAGTCCCATTTGGTCCCAAGACTATAATTCCCATATTGCTTGGTATAAGTTCAATATTTAAATTGGTTCACTGTTACTACCAGTCCAAGAAGTCACCCACACTTTTCTGTAGGCTGAGGGAATGGCAGAGAGAAGAGAAATATCCACTGGGGTTGTAGGAGCCTTTGTTTGGATACTTGGACCCAGCTTTCTCAGCATCTGTCAATGACCTATTCTAGGGTTTCTGTTGCGTAACTGGGGAGAGAGTGTAACCCTTTCCCGCAGGCTTCTGATTGCTGCTTTAATTCAGAAGCCAACCCTCAAGACCTCATTCCCATTAGACAGCATCATTCTCTCTTTTCTTTTGGTCAACTTTATTGAGGTATAATTTACATAAAATAAAATTCACCAGTTTTAACTGCACAATTCAATGAAATTTGACAAATGTATACAGTCATGCAACCCCTCCACAATGCTGATAGAGCATTTCCCTCACCCCAGAAGTTCCCTCGTGCCCCTTTGTAGTGAACTCCCCCACCTTGCCGACCACTGAGGTGGTTTCTATCTCTGCAGTTTCACGTGTTCCAGAATGTCATATAAATGGACTGTATGTATAGTACATGGTCTTTGTGCCTGGCCTCTTTCCTTTACCATACTGCTTTTGAGATTCATCTGGTCGATGTGTTTCAGTGATCCATTCCTTTTTGTGATGAATAGTACTCTATTTCATGGATGTACCACACTTTGTTGGTACATTCACCAGTTGATGGACATTTGGATTGTTTCCAGTTTTTAGAAATTATGAGTAACACTGCAGTGAACCATCACATACATGTGAGTCTTTGTGTGAACATACGTGTGTCTTTTTCTTGGGTAAATACCTATGAGTGGAATTGCTGGGTCATAGGGTAAGAGTGTCAGCCTTGATAAGAAATTGCTGAACTGCTTTACAAACTATTTCACATCCCCCCGCCCCCAGTGGCATTATAAGAGTTCCAGTTATTCCACAACCTTGTCAACATTTGCTATTGTCCGTTTAGCAAGTGTAGTAAGTGTATAGAGGTTGAGTATCTTTTTGTTTTGGAGTTTTTTTGTTTTTTCTTTTTGTTTGGCTTTTTAAAAAAATTACGATGGGCCTTGGTGTAGTT